GAGAAGAGAAGAGAAGAGAAGAGAAGAGAAGAGAAGAGAAGAGAAGAGAAGAGAAGAGAAGAGAAGAGCGTAACAAACACCCAAAGCGGTGGGCATTATTCACCATCAATTGTAAGTCGCATTGGACAAAAGTATCTGCTGAATGACTGAATGTAAATGAATGAGTGAGGGATGCTGTTGTCCTGAAATAAATGAACACTTCCAGTCTTCAATCATTGACTCTAAATGATCCTGTATCAGATGAGGAAATGCCTTTAGAGGTTAAACTCATTCACTGCACTATAAACACCCTGAAAGTGAAGCGCAGACAGCAAATATCACTAGAGCTTGTGCAAATGAACTTCTGAACTTCCCTTATTAAGACTAGTCAAAATCACTTAAAAAAGCAAATTGGTCTATTATTTAATTTTAAGGCATTGTTCTATTAATATTCTGCATTTCCAATTAATATGAATTATTACAATATATGTTCTAAATTACTAATAAAATTAATAATAATTTTAAAACTATTTTAATAATATTAATATAAAATTATTATTTAAATTTGTATTAAATATTTTTATTATCCAATTAAAAATAAAAATGTAATTATAGTTAATAGTTAATATAGTGATTATTTACAGTATTGTTTAATTATTAATTATAATATTCAATGTATATTTTAACACAAATTATCTCATTTATGAATATGAATTCATAAATAAAAAATGCAATTAAAAATAATGACTTAAGTATTGACACAATTTAAATGGTTGTAATATTTTTGTTTTGCATTGTAATTTAGTTGTTTTTGTCTATATAGTTTGTATAAAAAATTTCTTTAGCTATTTTAATAAATCAAATTATATGCTCTTTCATCATCATGTTGAAATAAAATGAGTTTAATTTCATAATTTTTTTAGTTAATATTAATGTTACAAAATAATCTTTACATGTTTAGATAATTCTTTAATCTCTTAAATTCCATATAGCTCATTTTAAGTATGCATGATATTAATAAACGTATATTAATAAGCTTCAGATAAATACTAATAATATATTATTAATAAAATTCAGATCTAATTTACTGTTAAAATCTTATTATTATTATGTTTATTATTTTGGTATTATTATTACTATTTGTATTAATATTATTTCTATTATTATCATTATTATTATTATTAATATTATTTGTATTATTATCATTATTATTTTCACTATTATTATTAGTAGTAGTATTATATTAGTATTATTTATATTATTATTTGTGTTATAATTATTCTTTTTATTATTATTATTAATGTTTTACAAATTATGTTTAAATATTATTGTTTTATTTTTTGTACTATTATTTTTGTATTATTATTTGTATTATTATTATTGTATTATTATTATTATTATTATTATTATTATTTGTATTATTAGTAATAGTATTATTATTTGTATTTTATTATTATTATTATTTTATTATTATTTGTATTATTATTATTATTATTATTATTATTATATGTAATATTATTATTTTATTATTATTTGTATTATTAGTTATATTATTATTATTTGTATTATTAGTTATATTTGTATTATTAGTTATATTATTATTATTATTATTATATGTAATACTTTTATTTTATTATTATTGCAGCATTATTTATTTAATTATATTATTGACTACATTTAATTTAAATGATAACTGAAATAAATTGCTTGGTAAATATCTTACGAGTATGACCCCATTTTCATATTAAACTTCTTCATAAACAAGTGCACCTCAGGCACCAGAACCAGGTCACATGAAACCATTAAGCTAGAGTTATAAAGTCGCACAATGACATTATTATAAAGTGATATAATAAAGGTTTATTAAACTTACCCGGTATGTCCATCAGGTCATCAAGACTGGGCTGCAGTGGTGTCAGACCAGGCTGGATCATGTCTGCATTACTGGTGTAAGCTGGACAGAAACATATCATAAAGACGTGTGTGTGTGTGTGTGTGTGTGTGTGTTTTGAAGAGATTGTGCATTTATTCTTTTAAAGTTCCTTGTTTTAGGGTGTGGTGTGTTTCCTGAATGAAATATTAATATAAACTCATGTGACTAAATTCTCCACCTCATTGATGAAATCCTGAATTGACAAAAAAATAAGTAAAATTGATGTGAGGAGACGTTATGTACACCACTGAAAGATGTACAGGGCTCAATTAGTGCTTAGCCTTTTGGAATTTTTGGCCATTTCTCAGTTAATATGGCATATATATTTTGGTCCATTTAAATAAAACAGGACAACACGGTGGATCAGTGGTTAGCACAGTTTCCTCACAGCAAGAAGGTCGCTGGTTCGAGTCCCAGCTGCGTCAGTTGGCATTTCTGTGTGGAGTTTGCATGTTCTCACAGTGTTGGCGTGGGTTTCCTCCGAGTGCTCCGGTTTCCCCCACAGTCCAAACACATGAGCTATAGGGGAGTTGGATGACCTAAACGGCCTGTAGCGTATGTGTATGAATGTGACAGTGTATGGGTGTTTTCCAGTACTAATGGAGTGCACCTCTATCCAGAAGTAAACTGATTGAGATCTGATTGATTTGAGGACTCACTGTTCTGGCGGTCTGCACTCCAGGCACTGGGTTTCTGGGTCATGGTGAACAGCGTGTCTGAGATGTCGGACAGGAAGCAGTCCAAGTCAAACATGTGGACTTCCTCTGATGCCGCTTCAGGCTCTGAATAGATCTGACTGCTCCATTTCTCCAGACCCGTCCGGCTGATGGGACTCTGTGGAGAACAGCAAAAAAAAAAAAACACACACACATCAGCTGAGGAATCGGTGAAGAAGTCACGTCAAGTCAAGTAGGATTTCATTGTCATTTCAAGCATATACAGTGAAGCCGAACAACGTTAATACAGGATCAAGGTGTTACATATAACATACATTAGCAAAAACTAACTAAGAAAGCTGACTAGCTAAGACAAGACTAATTGACATAAAGTGCATATATGCAAACAGTGAGACTATGGCATATCGAAATGCAAAAGGTCTAAAGTGGATGGCACAAAAATACTAAGGGAAACTTATAAAAATAAATAGGGGTGTCAAAATTAATAGTTTTTTTTGGTGCACCGCGATGCAGACACAGACAATGTGGTATCGGTTCAATAATAATCATAACCGGTTAATATGTACTGATGTCATTTATCTCCTATGCGCTATGTCGCGAGGGAGGTGAATGCGGGTATTTACAACACTCCAGGAGCCGGCCCGTGGCGTAGGCAGTATAGGCAAATGCTAAGGGCACTGTACATCCATGGGGACACCAGAAATAAGCGCGGTTAAGTTGGTTTTGTTTTTGATATTCCTGACACATTCAGTAATAAACCTCTTACCCTAAAAAGATCTAAAGTGTGTTTCCTACAAAAAAAATCAAAGCTGGTTATGTTTCACAGCTGTCTTTTTCTCTTTTTTTCAACCCAAGCTCATTCTGGAAACGTAGCCCCGCGGACGTTTCTAGAGACTGAGATTTACGTGGCCGGAGGTACGTATGGCCGCGTTTTGTTTTTTTCAAGCAAACGCTATGGGGCGGTGTGACGCCGCTCCTCCTCTTCGTGCTTGCCGGCTCACCTCTGTGTGGAGGGCTTTCCCGATGCAACCAGTTTGTCCGCTTAGCTCTCAGTGTTACGTTGGCGGAGCGGAGGCCCGGAGGAGGAGAAGCCGGCCACGGGGACGACCGGGAGCGAGTCAGGTAAAAAGAAAAACAGAATCCAAAAAATAAGGGCGAGAACGCGGCGAGATCTGAAAACGCAGTTAAAATCGGACAAGTGCTTTTGCTTTTTTTTTCTGGACGGCTTTTGCAAATCGTAGCTTCGGTTTAGGGAAGGAGGAGGAAGAGGAGGGCGGTTGGATCGGCCGGCCGCCCGGTCGATCGTTCAGTCATTCAGCCAGTCAGTCGGATGGACGGTCGCTCCACAGTGGCCTCCGGCGGCTTTTTACGCGAGAACAGCGTGGGCGGGAACGGCGCGCGCTCCCGAGAGGCGTTCGAGACACGAAAAAGTGGGCACAGCGGCCTCTCGCGGATTCACGAAAACAAAAACTGCTCGAATACGTACCTCCCGGGACGAATTTCGCGGTCTGCAGAAACGTCCACGGGGCTACATTTCCACAATGAGCCCGGTTGCTTTTTTTCGCTCTACGTTACGACCACTGCTCCCTTTAAGCTCTTGCAATATGCGTTTAGCCAGGAGAGCTCGCGCGGACCGGAGCTCTCTGTAAGGGACCGTCGGAAAAGTGCTTCTTTTTATCTTTTTTTTTTTTTATTACTCCACTCAGCGCGAGCTCTCCCGGCTAAACGCATATTGCGAGGGCTTAAGAGTGTGTGTGTGTGTGTGTGTGTGTGTGTGTGTGTGTTTGTTTGTTAGGTGCTGTCTATGTTTGTGTATGTGTATGGATGAGAGACAGTGTGGTGCTGTGTGCCTGTGTGTGTTTATACAGACAGCTTGTTATAGCCTCCCCTTAAAATATAACACTGTGTATGGAAAGCATCGTCAATGCACCGTGATGCACCGAGATATCAAATTGAACCGAATCGATGGCATGATAATCATAACCGAACCGAACCGTGAGACCAGTATATGTTCACACCTCTAAAAATAAACTATAAACATACATAGTGTGGCGGGTCACTCAATAAATCATCACCGCCATCCTGGGAAGCACTCATGCACAACACCTGAAGTAATCACGCCGACTGCCAACAGCCACAGCCAGTCTCTCTACCGCCCTATATAACAGCCATAACCACAACTGAGGGTTAGACACATCTCCACTGGCCAGAAACCTGTGCTTTCTCTCTCTTTCACCCTACAGAAACAACAGATTAGCCAGAGGAAGCTGAAAGATGGTTGGCACTGCACTGGAGCACCCTGCACGAAGGAAATCCCGCTTGACACGAAAACACCTGCTTACTTACCTGCACTTTGGCACGTTGATCACTTCTTGACTTCGTGAATAAACTTGTGTTGGCTTCTTCACTCCGCCCTGCTACAATAAAATAAATACTACTACTATTCATTCATTCATTTTCGGCTTAGTCCCTTTATTAATCTGAGGTCGCCAGCGGACGCTCTTCCAGCTGCAACCCAACACTGGGAAACACCCATACACTCTCTTTCAAACACACTCACTACGGCCAATTTAGCTTATTTAATTCACCCATAGCGCATGTGTTTGGACTCTGGGAGAAACCGGAGGAATTACACACCAACACTGGGAGAACATGCAAACTCCACACAGAAATGCCAACTTGCCCTGGTGGGAGTCGATACAGCGACCTTCTTGCTGTAAGGCGATCATGCTACCCCCTGCACCACCATGATGCCCACTACTACTATTTATTCATTTTCCTTGGGCTTATTTCCATGTTTGTCAGGAGTTGCCACACCGGAACGAACCGCCAACTATTCCAGCATATGTTTTTACCCAGCAGATGCCCTTCCAGCCGCAACCCAGTACTGGGAAACACCCGTACACAATCATACACTACAGCCAATTTAGTTTATCCAAATTCAACAATTCAACTGACCCAGCCGGGACTCGAACTAGCGACCAATGCTACTAGTAATGATAACATTAAACAATTGTAAATTTCCAGGGCCCAAAGTGACAGTACAGCCACATGACACACTTCCATACTTCGTGGTGATGAGATAATGAGTCGAGATAAAACAGTAAAGAAACAGTAAAGATAAAATAATACAACAAGCTTCATATTTAATGCTAGACATTTAATCACAAACATTAAAAACAGCAATAATACTGATGTGTAAATTAGTAAACATCTAAAACCATCACTGAGTGTTCCCAGTGACTGCAGTTAAAATGACTTTAAACTGCAGCTTAGATGGTTTTTGAAATCACCAGACGCTGCACATGCTTATTCAAGCACAGAACAAATTTTCAAATACAAATGAATTATTTTCTGAAGAAAAGCCAGGCTGAAGAAAATAATGCGAGGAAATAAATAGATTCCGGTTTAACATTTGTATGCCGAGCAAGGAAACGAGAAGGAAAACAAGACAGAGAACAAGGTTCATCTTCATGTCAAAATGAAAAGGATGAGCATCAGCAGCTAAATGTAAAAAAGTAAATAAAAAAACATTTAACAATGTAAAATAAATATATTTAAATGAACGAATGAATGAACGAATGACACAAAAGAACAAATGAATGAATGAATGAATGAATGAATAATAAACGAATGACACATGAACAAATGAACAATGAATGAACAAATGAACAAATTAATGTATGACAAATGAATAAATGAATTAATAACACATAAATGAAAGAATAAATAAAGGAACGAATGAATGACACAAATGGATGACATGAATGAATGAAATGATCAAATAAAACGAATGAACAAATGAATGAATGAATGAATGAATAAATGAATGAATGAAAAACAACGAATGAACAACTGAATGAATGAATGAATGAATGAATAAATGAATAACAAATGAATAAATGAATTAATAACATGAATGAAAGAACAAATAAAGGAATGAAAGAATGCCACAAATGGATGAATGAATGAATGAATGAATGAATGAATGAATGAATGAATGAATGAATGAAATAAACAAATAAAACAAATGAACAAATGAATGACACATGAATGAACAAATGAATGAACAAATGAATGAACAAATAAATGAATGAATGAACGAACGAACAAACAAACAAACGAACGAACGAATGAATGAATGAATGAACGACACATGAATAAATAAATGAAGACAAGAATGAATGAACAAATGAATGAATGGATGACTGAATGAATGAATGAATAAATGAATGAATGAATGAATGAATGAATGAATGAATGAATGAACGAACTAACGAACGTATAAATGAATGAACAAATGAATGAATGAATAAATGGACGCGTGAATGATTGAATGACATGAATAAATGAATGAATGACATGAACGAATGAACAAATGGATGAATGAATGGATGGATGACACATGAATGAGTGAACAAATGAATGGCACATGAACGCATGAATGAAATGAATGAATGAATGAATGAATGAAAGTATGGCTGGTCTTGATTACAATCAATTTATCCAAACAGCTAGTTGACTATTAATGGTGAAAGAAAGAAAATACAGTACAGTTTACAGTACAGTTGTTAAAAGAGTGACAGTGGTAAAATAAACATGGGGTCAGATTTACAAACAGAGCAAATGAGTGCAACAAATACAAATATAAAAATAAGTCAGTTAAAAACAGTTGTACTCAGCAAAACATCAAATTTGTTACTTTAAAATCAATATACACACACACACACACACGCACACACACACACACACACACACACACACACACACACACACACACACACACACTGCTAATTATACATCAATGGTGCTACATTATACTGCCCCTCCAAAAAGCTGTCCCTCAAATCAAGTCCTGCCCTGCATTTCTCTGCTATGTAAACTTCATGCCAACTTCATCTAAAGCCAACCAGGCCTAGAAGTCACCCGCTGGAAAAACTTCAGAACCAAAGCTGAGATGTTTGCATTTTAATGACAGATTAGTTTCCTTTGGAAGATCTTGCAATTATGCATCCTCACAATATTATAAAAATATGTATTCAGAAAGCAAATGCTGCTGATTTTAATGCTTAAAGGGATAGTTCACCCTCCCTCACTAAAATTACTCACTAAAAACTCAAACCTTTATGAGTTTCTTTCTTCTGTTGAACACAAAAG